TTTTTGACATGAAACTTTTACAAAGGATTTTACATGCAAATATAAATATCCATGTCAAATTTTTACATTCAAAAAGAATATCCATGTCAAATAAAAAGTAATTTACATTCAAAAAGAATATCCATGTCAAATTTGGTAAGTTTTTTTATTAATTTAAAATTTGGCCAAAAAATGTGATGGTACCCCTAGAGCTCGAGGCCAAAACTAAAAAAAATTATAATTTAGACATTACCGACAAGTTTTTTTGACATGAAACTTTTACAAAGGATTTTACATGCAAATATAAATATCCATGTCAAATTTAGCAAATTTTTTGATGAATTTAAAATTTGACCAAAAATTGTGATGTTTTTTTTGAACAAATGCTCATATTATTAAACCGCAAACACTTATAAGTACATCAACACCCCAATAATCATCTCTATGCCTACTCTCAAACGTATCTATTATGACAGATAGTTGGATTTAAGCTTAACATTAATATATGTTTTAAGTTGATATCTAATGAACATGCAACAGTCCTCAATTGAAATCTCCTCCTGTAGCTTGATCCATTTGTTTCTTGCTCTCCAAACAGTGTAGCAAATAGCTGCAAACGCAGCTGCCACCACTTGCCTTCTCTTCCTCCCTTTAATCCTCCAATATTCCTTTTGCCATTCCTCACCATTCCCTACTAGAAATCTGTGATTGATCCACTGACCAATATGAGTTAGAACCTCTTTAGTGAACCTGCATTCATAGAACAAATGATCCCTATCTTCAATAGCATTCTTGCAAAGGACACAAGTGGTATCAATGTTCATAAATCTGCTCAGTCTAGCTTTAGTGGGGATTCTGTTTTTCCAGATTAGCCACTGGATGAACTGATGCTTGGGTATGGCAAGTTTATTCCACACTATTTGGTATCCTTGTGCACAGGTGTTTTCCTTCATTAGCCACTCATATCCTTTACTCACCTCGTATTCCTTCGTTTCATCCATCCCGTGGAATAGCTCCCTGTTTGCTAGAAGTCTTTTCAGATAGAAGCAAAACCCAGGCTTAGGTGAAATATTCCATATGGTTTCCTTCTTCAAGTATCTGTTGTGAATCCATTTAACCCATAGTATGTCTTTTTTATTGGCAATGTCCCATAGGAGTTTCTGATTGCAGGCATAGTTCCAGAGACAGAGATTCTTAAATCCCAGACCACCATGTTTCTTTGCTTTGCAACTTTCCTCCCAACTGACTGGTGGAGCTCTAGTGTATTCAACTTTAGATCCCCATAAAAAATTTCTGCAGATGTTTTGGATATTTTGCATCACCTTAGAGGGGATGATAAAGAGCCTACTCCAAAAATTAATGACACCAAACAGGACTGAATTTATGAGTTTGCATCTTCCTGCATAAGAAAGATTTTTTGATGTCCATGCAGTAATTTTAGCTGTGATCTTGCATACCAAGGCTTCACATTCTCTAGCACTGATCCTACTGTCAGTGATGGGACCTCCAAGATACTTGAAAGGTAGATCCCCTTTGGCCATCTTGGTCATATTCAGTAGTTCATCCTCTATTTCCCTCAGTACTCCTCCTGTTACCATTTGGGATTTGGAATAATTGACTTCCAACCCAGTGACTTCTCTAAAATGGCCAAGACTGTCCAGAATGGTTTGGACAGATCTTTTATCTGCTTTGCAAACCAGTATAAGATCATCAGCGAAAGCCAGGTTAATAATTTTAAGCTCCCTACATTTAGGGTGGTAGCTGAATCCATTTTTCTGGGCATACACCTTTAGAGTTCTGGTCAGATATTCCATAATCAAGGTAAAGAGGAGGGGTGAAATGGGGTCACCCTGCCTTATGCCCTTGCCTCCATTGAAAAACCCCACGTTTTCTCCATTAAGCAAAATAGAGTATGATGTGCTGGTAACACAGAAATATACCCAACCAATGTATCTGGTAGGAAACTTCATGGCTTCCATGATCCCTTTTATGGCCTTCCAGCTTATAGAATCATAGGCTTTCCTAAGATCGATCTTCATCAGACACCTAGGAGAAGCCCCCTTCCTTTTATATCCCTTAGCTATCTCATGGCAAAGAAGGATGTTGTGTACCAATTCCCTCCCCTCTATAAAGGCCCCTTGGTTAGGGTTGATAATGTCTGGGAGTACCTTCTTGAGTCTTGAACTCAGGATCTTTGAAATAGTTTTATAAATGACATTGCAACATGCAATGGGTCTAAAATCAGTAGGAGACCTAGGTGACTCATTTTTTGGGATAAGAGTGATATTGGTTGCATTCAATTGTTTAGGAAACTCTCCAGATTGAAAGAACTCAGTTACTGCATTGGTAACCAATTCCCCCACCACTTCCCAGTTCCTTTNCTCCCCTCTATAAAGGCCCCTTGGTTAGGGTTGATAATGTCTGGGAGTACCTTCTTGAGTCTTGAACTCAGGATCTTTGAAATAGTTTTATAAATGACATTGCAACATGCAATGGGTCTAAAATCAGTAGGAGACCTAGGTGACTCATTTTTTGGGATAAGAGTGATATTGGTTGCATTCAATTGTTTAGGAAACTCTCCAGATTGAAAGAACTCAGTTACCGCATTGGTAACCAATTCCCCCACCACTTCCCAGTTCCTTTTAAAGAAGCCACTATTGAAGCCATCAGGTCCTGGACTTTTAATATTGGGAATGGCAAAGACTGCACTCTTGATTTGATCCTGAGTTATGGGAGCCAGGAGACTTAACTGCTGTGCTGGGTTTAGACAAGGACCTGTTTTGATAATGTCATCCTGAACAGGGTCTGTCCAAGAGCTCACACCGAGTAGGCTTTTGAAGTAGTCTATCAGCACATTAGCCACTTGTTGTTTACCTTCCATCTTCTCCCCCTTGCTGTTAGAAATGCTAATGATCTGATTGTTCATGCTCCTTTTCTTTACCCAGGCAAAAAATAGTCTTGAACTTTGATCCCCATCAGTTATCCACTTCTGTTTGGCTTGTTGAAGTTTCATCATCTGCGAAGCTTTACTAATAGTAAGGTATTCCTTCAGGCATTCCTTCTCTCTGTTTATCAACCCTTGATTATTTATATCCTCTTTCAACTTTCTCTGGATATCAGCAAGTTCCTCCATAATGATCTCACATTGAGTGTGGATTTGATGGAACTTGCTCTTATTGAGTCTCTTCAGAGGCCTCTTCAATTCTTTGAGTTTGTGGATTAGTTGGTACATATATCTCCCATCAATGTCTTTCCTCCATATACTCCTAAGCAAGGGCTGAAACTCTGAATCTAACTCCCACATGTCACAGTATTTGAATCCAACATTCATCCTATCTTGAGGTTGGGTTCTGATTAATAGCATACAGTGGTCAAAGATACCTTCTTCAATCACCTGAATTTTGTTTCCAAATTGGAGGAACCATTCCATATTAGCTATGGCCCTGTCCAACTTGGAATAGATCCTATGACCAGGATTTTGTTTATTACACCAGGTATAATAGCTGCCATCACTAGGCACCTCTTCCATTGCATAGTTGATCATACAGTCTTTAAAATCCTTAGTCTCCTCTTCAGTGATGTTGTTTCCTCCTATTCTGTCCATATTAGACAAGACTGCATTGAAGTCCCCAACAATTATCCAGCTGTCATCAATCCCTTTTGCAGTATTGACCAGTTGCTCCCATAGTCTACCTCTCTCTTGTGCTGAGTTGTGCCCATATACAAAGGTGATATAAAAAGGATCCCCCTCACCAATGCCTCTTCCTTTGCAGTGGACCATTTGATCACTGCTATCCAAGATCATGACCTCATACTTATTTTTATTCCAGAGTATCCAAATCCTACCCAAAGGGTGGTCTTCCTTATTCATAAATGAACCCCACCCTGGCAGGAATTTATTTTCTAATTCATCAGATTTATTCATCTTTATTTTTGTTTCCAGTAGCCCTACCCAACCAATATCATATTTATTAATCATCCTCCTAACTTCCTGTTGTTTCAAGGGGCTGTTAAGCCCTCTGACATTCCAGCTTCCAATCATGTAAGGAAGGGATAGTGCCCCTCATATGGGCTTTTCTCCATTACTTTCATAAGAGCAATCAATGGATCTTCTTCTTCATTCTCTACAAATTTCTTCTTGGCAGCTTTCCTACCACTAACTTCAATGAATCTCTCATCCTCATGGACTAAATTTTCTATCTCCCTTTCTTCCTCATTATCTTTCTTTCTCTCATTGGGTTCCGGATCAGTAGTAGCCTTTGGTTTCCATATCAGTTTCCTTCTCACATTCCCAGTTTTCACTTCCTTCTTCCTGCAGTTTTCTTGCATATGTCCCAGTTTCACAGTGGGAGCATATGCAGGGTATCCATTCATAATTAATTTTCTGCGTGCGCACAACATCTTCATCATCCACATAGGTAATAGTCTCTGGAAACTCTTGTTGTACTTTAACTTCCACTTGAATTCTGGCATAGGCATACTTCCTTTTATTCGCAGTTGGCCTGTCTCTTTTAATGGGTTTCCCAATCATGCTGCCCAGCTTACTAAGACCAGTTAAACTCCAAAATTTCATTTCCAGATCTGGAAATTGTATCCATATAGGAACATCATCAAGAGCCTCCAAATTAATCTTCACCCCAGGATACCTTTTTTTGAACCAAAACAGGTTTATTATCGAAATAATAGTATTTCCTCTGTAGGATATAATCCCTATCTTCCACCTTCTTAAACGAAACAATAAACTGACCTTCTCTTAGTAGAGATACTTCCTCGATCTGGACATCTTTCCATATCCTGTTAATATATCCCTTGACTACCTCCAGTGGGGGATTAGCACCGAGTATACAGCATACCAGTGTCGCATCCCAGTAGTTTGCCATATCAATGATGTCTTCCTTCAAGAGCTTTGCTATCCGATTTCCATTGATATCTGCTGCAGGAATGAATTTCAGTTTCAGGTCATCATTTGGGTCACCTACCACACTCGCATAGGTTTCAGGTTTTTCATCATCCTTCTTCAAATCTGCGACATCGCCTGATTGATCTTTGGGGCTATTGGATTCAGATTGGGTTTCGCTTGATTTCAGGGTTGTATTATCCGTCGGGCTGCTCCCCTCCGGCGATTTCTCATCGTTGTTCATTTGCTTCTTCTTCGGTCTTCCTCTCTTCCGCGGCATGGCTAGAGAGAGAATTTCGCAATAGTTCCTCCCTAAAGCTCGAGGCCAAAACTAAAAAAATTATAATTTATACATTACTCACAAGTCTTTTTGACATGAAATTTTTACAAAGGATTTTGCATGCAAATAGAAATATCCATGTCAATTTGGCAAATTTTTTGATGAATTTAAATTTTTTCCAAAAAATGTGGTAGTACCCCTTGAGCTCGAGGCCAAAACTAAAAAACTTATAATTTAGACATTACTCACAAGTCTTTTTCACATAAAACTTTTATAAAGGATCTTACATGCAAATATAAATATCCATGTCAAATTTAGAACATTTTTTGAAAAATTTACAATTTGGCCAAAAAATGTGATGGTACCTCTAGAGCTCGAGGCCAAAACTAAAAAAATTATAATTTAGACATTACTGAAAAGTCATTTTGACATGAAACTTTTACAAAGAATTTTACATGCAAATAGAAATATCCATGTCAAATTTGGAAAATTTTTTGACGAATTTAAAATTTGGCTAAAAACTGTGATGGTACCCTTAGAGTTCGAGACAAAAACTAAAAAAATTATAATTTAGACATTACTGTCAAGTCTTTTTGACATGAAACTTTTAAAAACTATTTTACATTCAAAAAGAATATCCATGTCAAATTTGGGAAGTTTTTTTATTAATTTAAAATTTTGCCATAAAATGTGATGGTACCCCTAGAGCTCGAGGGCAAAAGTAAAAAAAATATAATTTAGACATTACTGACAAGTCTTTTTGACATGAAACTTTTTTAAAAGATTTTAAATGCAAATAGAAATATCCATGTCAAGTTTGGCAAATTTTTTGATGAATTTAAAATTTGGCGAAAAACTATGATGGTACCCTAGAGTTTGAGGCAAAAACTAAAAAAATTGTAATTTAGACATTACTCTCAAGTCTTTTTGACATGAAACTTTTAAAAAGTATTTTACATTCAAAAATAATATCCATGTCAAATTTGGCAAGTTTTTTTATTAATTTAAAATTTGGCCAAAAAATGTGATGGTACTTCTAGAACTCGAGGCCAAAACTAAAAAAAATTATAATTTAGACATTACCGATAAGTCGTTTTCACATGAAAATTTTATAAAGGATTTTACATGCAAATAGAAATATCCATGTCAAATTTGGCATATTTTTTGATGAATTTAAAATTTGGCCAAAAAATGTGATGGTACCCCTAGAGCTCGAAGCCAAAACTAAAAAAATTATAATTTAGACATTACTGACAAGTCGTTTTGACATGAAACTTTTATAAAGGATCTTACATGCAAATATAAATATTCATGTCAAATTTGGAACGTTTTTTGATTAATTTAAAAATTGGCCAAAAAATGTGATACTACCCCTAGGGCTCGAGGCCAAAACTAAAAAAATAGAATTTAGACATTACTGACAAGTCGTTTTGACATGAAACTTTTACAAAGGAATTTACTTGCAAATATAAATATCCATGTCAAATTTGGAAAATTTTTGATGAATTTAAAATTTGGCTAAAAACTGTGATTGTACCCCTAGAGTTCGAGGCAAAAACTAAAAAATTATAATTTAGACATTACTATAGAGTCTTTTTGACATGAAACTTTTAAAAAGTAATTTACATTCAAAAAGAATATCCATGTCAAATTTGGTAAGTTTTTTTTATTAATTTAAAATTTGGCCAAAAAATGTGATGGTACCCTAGAGCTCGAGGCCAAAACTAAAAAAAATTATAATTTAGACATTACCGACAAGTTTTTTTGACATGAAACTTTTACAAAGGATTTTACATGCAAATATAAATATCCATGTCAAATTTGGCAAATTTTTTGATGAATTTAAAATTTGGCCAAAAAATGTGATGGTAGCCCTTGAGCTCGAAACCAAAACTAAAAAAAATTATAACTTAGACATTACTGACAAGTCATTTTGAAATGAAACTTTTATAAAGGATCTTACTTGCAAATTTAAATATCCATGTCAAATTCGGAACGTTTTTTGATGAATTTAAAATTTGGCCAAAAAATGTGATTGTACCCCTAGAGCTCGAGGCCAAAACTAAAAAAATTATAATTTAGACATTACTGACAAGTCGTTTTGATATGAAACTTTTACAAAGGATTTTACATGCAAATATAAATATCCATGTCAAATTTGGCAAATTTTTTGATGAATTTAAAATTTGGCTAAAAACTGTGATGGTAGCCCTAGAGTTCGAGGCAAAAACTAAAAAAATTATAATTTAGACATTACTGTCAAGTCTTTTTGACATGAAACTTTTAAAAAGTATTTTACATTCAAAAAGAATATCCATGTCAAATTTGATAAGTTTTTTTATTAATTTAAAATTTGGCCAAAAAATGTGATGGTACCCTAGAGCTCGAGGCCAAAACTAAAAAAAATTATAATTTAGACAATACCGACAAGTCGTTTTGACATGAAACTTTTTAAAAGGATTTTACATGCAAATATAAATATCCATGTCAAATTTGGCAAATTTTTTGATGAATTTAAAATTTGGCCAAAAATTGTGATGTTACCCCTAGAGCTCGAGGCCAAAACTAAAACAATAATAACTTATACATTACTGACAAGTCTTTTTGACATTAATTTTTACAAAGGATTTTACATGCCAATAGAAATATCCATGTCAAGTTTGGAAAATTTTTTGATAATTTAAAATTTGGCCAAAAAATGTGATGGTACCCTAGAGCTCGAGGCCAAAACTAAAAAAATTATAATTTAGACATTACTGACAAGTCCTTTTGACATGAAACTTTTATAAAGGATCTTACATGCAAATATAAATATTCATGTCAAATTTGGAACGTTTTTTTGATTAATTTAAAATTTGGCCAAAAAATGAGATGCTACCCCTAGAGCTCGAGGCCAAAACTAAAAAAATTATAATTTAGACATTACCGACATGTCGTTTTGACATAAAACTTTTACAAAAGATTTTACATGCAAATAGAAATATCCATGTAAAATTTGGCAAATTTTTTGATGAATTTAAAATTTGGCTAAAAATTGTGATGGTACCCCTAGAGTTCGATGCAAAAACTAAAAAAAATTATAATTTGGACATTACTATCAAGTCTTTTTGACATGAAACTTTTAAAAAGTAATTTACATTCAAAAAGAATATCCATGTCAAATTTGGCAAGTTTTTTTGTTAATTTAAAATTTGGCTAAAAAATGTGATGGTACCCCTAGAGCTCGAGGCCAAAACTAAAAAAAATTATAATTTAGACATTACCGACAAGTCTTTTTGACATGAAACTTTTACAAAGGATTTTACATTCAAATATAAATATCCATGTCAAATTTGGCAGATTTTTTGATGAATTTAAAATTTGGCCAAAAAATGTGATGTTACCCCTAGAGCTCGAGGCCAAAACTAAAAAAATTATAATTTATACATTACTGACAAGTCTTTTTGACATGAAATTTTTACAAAGGATTTTACATGCAAATAGAAATATCCATGTCAAATTTGGAAAATTTTTTGATGAATTTATAATTTGGCTAAAAAATGTGATGGTACCCCTTGAGTTCGAAGCCAAAACTAAAAAAAATTATAATTTAGACATTACTGACAAGTCATTTTGACATGAAACTTTTATAAAGGATCTTACATGCAAATATAAATATCCATTTCAAATTTGGAACGTTTTTTGATGAATTTAAAATTTGGCCAAAAAATGTGATTGTACCCCTAGAGTTCGAAGCCAAAACTAAAAAATTTATAATTTAGACATTACTGACAAGTCGTTTTGACATGAAACTTTTATAAAGGATTTTACATGCAAATAGAAATATCCATGTCAAATTTGGCAAATTTTTTGATGAATTTAAAATTTGGCTATAAAATGTGATGGTACCCTTTGAGCTCGAAGCCAAAACTAAAAAAATTATAATTTCGACATTACTGACAAGTCATTTTGACATTAAAACTTTTATAAAGGATCTTACATGCAAATATAAATATCCATTTCAAATTTGGAACGTTTTTTGATGATTTTAAAATTTGGCCAAAAAATGTGATTGTACCCCAAGAGCTCGAGGCCAAAACTAAAAAAATTATAATTTAGACATTACTGACAAGTCGTTTTGACATGAAACTTTTACAAAGGATTTTATATTCAAATAGAAATATCCATGTCAAATTTGGCAAATTTTTTGATGAATTTAAAATTTGGCTAAAAAATGTGATGGTGCCCCTAGAGTTCGAGGCAAAAACTAAAAAAAATTATAATTTAGACATTACTGTCAAGTCTTTTTGACATGAAACTTTTAAAAAGTATTTTACATTCAAAAAGAATATCCATGTCAAATTTGGCGAGTTTTTTTTTTAATTTAAAATTTTGCCAAAAAATCTGATGGTACCTCTAGAGCTCGAAGCCAAAACTAAAACAATTAAAATTTACACATTACTGACAAGTCTTTTTGATATGAAACTTTTATAAAGGATTTTACATGCAAATATAAATATTCATGTCAAATTTGGCAAATTTTTTGATGAATTTAAAATTTGGCCAAAATATGTGATATTACCCCTATAGCTCGAGGCCAAAACTAAAAAAATTATACTTTATACATTACTGACCAGTCTTTTTGACATGAAACTTTTACAAAGGATTTTACATGCAAATAGAAATATCCATGTCAAATTTGGCAAATTTTTTTATGAATTTAAAATTTGGCCAAAAAATGTGATGATACTCCTAGAGCTCGAGGCTAAAACTAAAAAAATTATAATTTAGACATTACTGACATGTTTTTTGACATGAAACTTTTACAAAGGATTTTACATGCAAATTGAAAAATCCATGTCAAATTTGGGAAATTGTTTGATGAATTTAAAATTTTTCCAAAAAAAATGTGATGGTACCCCTAGGGATAGAAGCCAAAACTAAAAAAATTATATTTTAGACATTACTGACAAGTCTTTTTGACATGATACTTTTACAAAGGAATTTAAAAGCAAATAGAAAAATCAATGTCAAATTTGACAAGTTTTTTGATGAATTTAAAATTTGCCCAAAAAATGTGATGGTACCCCTAGAGCTCGAGGCCAAGACTAAAAAAATTACTCCCTCCGTCCCACTATATTTTTCCACTTTCATTTTTGCAACCATCCAATACTTTTCTTTAATCCATTTTATCTTGTAATTTTTATATTAAAAAATTATAGAAATTATATATTAATAGTCTATATGTTAATACAAATCAAACAAGATCACGCATGACTATATTTAGGCTTACACATTGAGAGAATTTGATGAGTCAAAGTACTTAGATGAACAGTTCCAAAAGTCAAAAGTGGACGAATATAGCGGGACGGAGGTAGTATAATTTAGACATTACTAACAAGTCGTTTGACATGAAACTTTTATACAAGATCTTACATGCAAATATAAATATCCATGTCAAATTTGGCACGTTTTTTGATGAATTTAAAATTTGGCCAAAAAAATGTGATAATAGTCCTAGAGCTCGAGGCCAAAACTAAAAAAAACATAATTTAGACATTATTGACAAGTACTTTTGACATGAAACTTTTTCAAAGCATTTTACATGAAAATAGAAACATCCATATCAAATTTTGCATTTTTTTCTGATAAATTTAAAATTTTGCCAAAAAATGTGATGGTACCCCTAAACGTCGAGGTCAAAACTAAAAAATTATAATTTAGACATTATTAACAAGTATTTTGGATATGAAACTTTTACAAAAGATTTTATATGCAAATAGAAACATCCATGTCATTTTTTGCTACTTTTTTGATCAATTTTAAATTTGGCCAAATATGTGATGGTACCCCCAGATCCCGAGGGCAAAACTAAAAAAAATTACAGTATAATCTAGACATTTTTTTCAAGTATTTTTGTCATGAAACTTTACAAAGGATTTTACATGCAAATAGAAACATCCATGTCAAATTTTACAAGTTTTTTGATAAATTTAAAATTTGGCCGAAAATGTGAAGATAGACCTAGAGCTCGAGGTCAAAACTAAAAAATATTATAATTTAGACATTATTGAAAAATATTTTTGACATGAAGCTTTTACAAAGGATGTTACATGCAAATAGAAACATCCATGTCATTTTTTGCAACTTTTTTGATGAATTTAAAATTTGGCCAAAAAATATGATGGTTTCCATATAGCCTGAGACCGAAACTAAAAAAATATAATTTAGACATTATTTTCAAGTATTTTAACATTAAACTTTTACAAAAGATTTTACATGCAAATAAAAACATTCATGTCAAACTTTGCAACTTTGTTGATGAATTTAAAATTTGGCAAAAAATGTGATGATAGCCCTAAAGCTCAAGACCAAAACTAAAAAAAATATAATTTACACATCATTAACAAGTATTTTTTACATTAAACGTTTACAAAGAATTTTACATGCAAATAAAAACATCAATGTCAAATTTTGTAACTTTTTTGATAAATTTAAAATTTTGCCAAAAATGTTATGGTACCCTAGAGCACGAGTCCAAAACTAAAAAAAACTATTAATTTAAACATTATTGACAAGTATTTTTGACATGAAACTTTTACAAAGTATTTTACATGCAAATAAAAGCATGTATGTCAAATTTTGCAACTTTTTTTATGGATGTAAAACAAGGCAAAAAAATGTAATTAAAAAAACCTATCTGACATGCGTAAATACACTGTGTTTAAGTTTTTCTTCGAACAACCAATAGATTGATTTGGGCTTGAAATTTTATCACATGTTTTATAATGCAAAAAAACCTACTGTAATTAAAAAAAACATATCTGACATGCGTAAATACACTATGTTTAAGTTTTTCTTCGAACGACCAATAGATTGAATGCGCAGATGCCATTTCCTATCCAGAAGGAGGAGGTTGAAGAACTTGTTGCAGTAACCGTGCAGCAAGGCGTTGGCTTATTCCACCAACCACACTCCCCCCAATCTGGCGTGCCTCTGGTTCTTGAAGTATCTGGTCATCAGTGCTTCAAAAGTTAGCTTCAAAATAATAACACACAACTATTTTTTTTTTGTATTCAGCTATTTCACTTGCCAATGGAGTTACAACGGTCATCATTGACAAAGTTTTAGCTAGTTTCAAGCATATGGACCGAGTCAAAATGGCACATAAAATTTCTCTTGCCACTTTTTATGAAGTTTTGGGTGTAGTAAACACAACAATGCATTAAGGGTTAGCAAAAATAGCCTTTGATTTTTTTATATAGGGATAAACATGTGTACATTTTATCCTCCCAATTATAATGGGTGTGTTGTATCTCATTTAACTAATGATAAAAGCAAGCTATAAATCGAATTTTTTGAATGCAATTCATGCTCGGAGACCTCAACAAATGTAAGTGAAAGTAGATGTTACTACCTCTTTGACCGAGAATTCCATACTAGGATTATGTTTGGCAAACAAAACACGCACCTTATTTGACTTCAATGGATTGATTTGACTATTAAATATGGAGTATTTTGGTAAATAAAAAATTTAAGTTTGTTCATACGTGAAATACAATCAGTTAGATGGATTGACTTGAAAAATAACAAGTCACCTGCTTTTCAAAAAATAATCAATTACCTTTTCAGCTTTATGTCACTTTTTCACCCCTTAAAAAAAGTCACTATTTCACCTTTTTGCCTTTTCAGGTCAGCTTGCCAAACATAGCCTTTTCAGGTCAGTTTGCCAAACATACTCGTATATTGCTAGATATAGATTACCTGTAAAATTGGTTGTAGAAGGTTTGGATCAAAACCCTTAGATGATAGTAAAAGACCCCATATCCTAAATACTTGTGCCCTGAGATCCATCATACTTTTCTCTTCTGCAGTACTCATTACAAGAAGACCAGCTGCATTGCCATTGAAGATTATAGACCTCAAGGGACCAGGGATGAAGTTATAAGATTCAATAATTGATCCCAAAATGACTGCTTCAGTGACACGGATAGCCTCTTTAGTCACCAAATCCCGTAACGCCATGTCATCTGGACCCAATAATAACTTCAGGACAGGTTGAAAAGCATCTTTTGCAGAAAAATCTTGATCTTTCTTTCCCTGGTCAAGCAGGTTCTCAAGTCTATTCCACCTACCGCAAAAGGATGAGGTCACGAGTTACTTAGTAGACAACACAAGTCCAACAACAACAACCCGGTACCCAATTGGATTAGTGTCTGAGAAGGGTGTGTGTACACATACCTTGCCCCTGCTTGAAAGTAGAGAGGCAGACAATACAAGTCCACCAAGTATATATTTTCTCCGTCCCAAAATTGATTACAATTTTTTTCTCACTTCTCAATAACTTTTGTTTATTTGTGTATTTTCATTGATTATTTGATAAAATAAAATATTCTTGTCACCTCTTGGTTTGTAGAACTTGACGTAGTTTTTTAAAATGTTATTTTTCTTTTTTATTGATGTACCAATTTGTAATGAAAATGATTTCAAAAGATGTAGGATTTTGCCTCATAATTTCCAATTTGTAATCAAAATTGGGACGGAGGGAGCATGAAACAGGAAACTCAATGCAGACCTGAACTTCCCATCCTTGAAAAGCAGCTCAATGAGAGCATCTCTAAGATATGGGTTGGGATCTGTAAGAAGCCTTTTAGCAAAATATGGATATGATGCAGCCAGTACTTTGAAATTAGGATCAGCATATAGAGCTAAGCCTTCTAAAACAGTGAGTGACCTTAGAATCAATGCATAATAAGGTGGAACTGCAAAAACAAATTCAAAAAATTGAAACAGAAATGTCAGAAACAATGCAAGTGGCTGTATTGTTTACATTCAAGCAAAAGTCATCGTGTTCTTTTATTTTACAACAAGAATTTAAAAACATAGTACACTTCATAAGCAAATAGATTAGGAAGAAAAGATAAGACTAGAATTGGAGAAGTCGCTCACCATTAAAAGGGTATTGATACAACACAGCTCCCAACCCATCAACAATTGTTCTAAAGTTAAGGTCACTCACGGTAGAGTTAAGTGCATCATCAAAGAAATCTCGAAGTGCTGGTACAATAGGAGAAACATCTATATCAGGCGATAAGAAGTCTAATGCATAGTAGTCACGAGCCATAGCCTCATAGTCCCGGTTAACCATGTGAACCACATGACCAATAATTGCAAATCTTGCTTCTTCAGGAGTTTCACTCATCATACCAAAATCAATAAAAGCAAGCTTCCCGTCAGGTGTTGCCAAGAGGTTTCCAGGATGAGGATCCGCATGAAAATAACCATACTCCAGCAATTGTCTGAGACTGCACTGGATGCCGGTGTTCACCAGATCCAAAATGTTTAGCCCTTGTCTCTCAATGGCCTCTATCTCATTCAATTTAACACCTTCCACCCACTCCATGGTTAAAACTTTCCCACTCGTGTAGTCCCAAAAAATGTCTGGGACAAGAACATCATCTCTGTCTGCATATAACTTCTTAAACCTTCTTGCATTCTGTCCTTCCTGCATAGACCTGTCAAAATTAACATTCAAACCCGGAGGAGCATTGTAGGAGTTCAGATAAGTCTAAAACTGAAGCTCATTTATTTGAAACAACTTAGGGAATCATATCCAGCCTGCAAGACTAAAAAAACAAGATAAATTTTACATACATGTGGTTCGAGAGAATAACAATGAAGTGCTAGTAAAACTAACCTGAACATAGTTGAGCTCTTGATATACTCGACGAGCAAATTCATCAATGAGAGCAACAACATCGCTTGTTATCGTGTCAACATATTCATTGATGAGAACACCTAAGCCTCTTATAAGGCAAAAATCTAATCCTATTGTTTCTTCGATACCCGGTCGTTGAACCTTGACAGCAACTACCTGACCAGTGTACTTCAGTTGAGCTTTATAAACTTGGCCCAGACTAGCTGCAGCAACTGGATATGCAGATATAGAAGAGTAGATTGCATCGAGTGGGCATCCCAACTCCGTCTCAATACAGGAAAATGCTTTCGTGTCAGGAAAAGTAGGCAATGCATCCTACACAGTACCAACAAGCGACCAGAACAATTAGTCTAGTACACTTCAAATTATATAGAAGTCTGAAACTCTAAATTAATTGAAAACAATACATCTATGGACACCTCTGGATTAAAATGTATGTGTCATGAGGGTATGATAAGAACTTTGTACTCCTTAAATTGGCCCTTTGGTTCAGCACTATCACATCTAGAATAATCTCATTACATTTATCCTTGGAGTTATAGGAGTTATCGAACAGATTAAGCTTGATTTCAAGCCTAACAATGTTGGGATTCAAATATGAACAGCATTTAGACACAAATATTTCTTCGAGCTGAGCTCAAACATGGTAATGTTTGGCGTTATAGTTTTTAGAGCACATATCAAACACCTATAAATAGCATCAGCTTCTCTTCTAACCATAATCTCCTTCCATTTCTTTCATTTCACCATGAACGGCATAAGCTTTCAATCGATCACTTCTGTTATACTATTAATTAGCTTTATCTCATTTATTAATTATGGTAATTAGAGCTGTAAGAGGAATCAAGCTCCCACTCATTGTCGCTTCAAAAGTGGCAGCTGAAATCTGGTAGAAGAAGAAGTGTTTTTGGAATGCTTGTTATAAATATAATTTCTAAAGATACATAGTACAAAAAATTCTGGCGATTTTAGGAACTTAAGATCTTACTATCCTAGATTCAAGCTCAGGTTTCTGTGTGTAGTTTCTTTTTCCAAAGACCGGGGGGGTATATATTTGAAAACAACTTTTCATTCAGTTTGTTGTTTCCAAATGTCTGGGTGTGTTTGTTATTTCAGCTTCTCTGCATTTTGATTTTCACTCATTTAGGAGCATGTCTGAAATTAATGTTTGAAAAATATTTACATTTAAAAGATAGAAAGATAATACAAGCGTACAACACTTGCACAATACATAGATACAACTCTATCTTCATCGGCACTTACAATACATACATACATATGCATGTGTATGTATCAAAATTCAGACTTTGGTGTAATTTCTAGATCTAAATAAGATTATTGACAGATTGAATGCTCGTCAAACTATTCGAACACAAGCCAATTATCGAGCATGAGTTGAGCTACTAAATTTGAGCATATTTTTCAATAGTATCAAACACTGAAGTAGGGCATCGAACATGTGTTGAGACAAACTTGTACCTCATACTTTGAGCTCACCAAGCTACAAGTTCAAACCCGAACATCCATATAGCTAAATCAAACCAAAATAAAGACCAAGACGTTCAGGCTCAGATTTGATTGGTAATGCCCTACTTGGAGCACATTTACAATGTGTTGAATTAAATTGAGTATATCAATGGTTGTCTTCAATTTCCTTTACTAGTATTAAAAATCATGACTAACACTAAACTCTTCTTTTCTCAATAACACTTGCATATTTCTTTTACATGTTCAAATTTTGAAAGAGGATAATGTATCCTTAAGGTGGAGGGAAAAGGGACAGTTGTAAACAAAGCTCTTATTGGGCTTCGATAAGTAGTGGAGTTTTTTTGACACCCTATTTCTTATAATAACTACTCCATGTTCTCATTCTTCTGTATCAGATTGTAAATCATTTTCCTTCTACTTAAGGACTTTAAAGCAACAACTAAAACATTCATTTTGTAAAGAGTCCAGATGGAAGAGATGGGTTGTATCAATATATCCTTTGATAGTTGCAGTGTGAGTACCTGCAATTTAGATAGCTCTTCAAGAAACTCTGGAGGGCATAAATCTGGTCGGGTGGATAATCCCTGGCCAATCTTAACAAAAGTAGGGCCTAAAGTGGTGAAAATCTGCCTCAACTCCACCGCCCTCAATCTTCTGTTTTGGTTGAGTTGGCCATTCAATTCGTCCAGCCACAGTTTAAAGGCGAAAGAACATAGCCTAACTATGATTTCGAACCCTCTGCTCACTACCTATTATCCAAGTCAAAAGTTATAACCAGGTGAAGATATGATTGTACGAAGAGTTCCGCACTGTCAATTGAAATTGGCGTAGTGTTTGAGATCTTTTGTACCTTGAGGGGTCGAGAGCCAAATTTGGTAAACAAGAGTTGTGGGCTATAAACTGAAGCATTAGCTGCACGCGCCAATGCCCGAGCTTCAGCTTGCATATCATCTGCTCGATCACTGCTAGATGAACCGGAGGAGGAGATTTCACCTCGTTGCAAAGAAGGATTACTAGTGTCAGGCAACCGATCTCTGATGGCGGGCACCAGACTGGGTCTAGCTTTCACCATGGACGCTCGTACAACTTCTCTATTCTTCGGTTTTCCCCTCTTCTTCCCCCAGAAATGAGTCGGTGTGCCTGAAACCCTAACGACGCCATTCCACGCCGGTAGAGCAAGTGGATGAGCGGCGCTTACAGATCCTGCAAGGGAACTCATCGCGCCACCAGACTCCGGGAGCTGCTACGTATGAAAGGGAAATTGGGTGAATCGGGGGACACGGATGATCGATCGATCGATCATCTTTGGTCATTAACAAACGATGCAGTTTTGGCCTTCGAGTTGGTCTCAGTCACATCTGACGGTCTTACTCCATCTTGACCAGTAAGAACAAGTTTTACTATGTCTGAGTTGGATTATAGATTTAATCAACAAAAACAGCAAATAGGATCCTATAATGGTAATTAATCATAATGAATGGCCAATTATGGAACATTTGCACATGCAATTACATATAAGAATAGGGCCTTATTTGCAGAAGTGATGTTTTTGGTAGGGCTGTAAACGGATAACCGAAAATTCAATTACCGTCCGCATTCGTATCCGTTTATATGGAAAATATCCGCATCTGTTAAAAGCGGTTATTATCCGAATCCGATTAAGGATATCCGATTGCTAAACGGATACGGATTTGGTAATCATACATCCGATCCGTTTATAATTCGCTCCGCATTGACATCTGTTTAAATAACCGTATATCCGTATATCTGATCTGTTATATATAGTTTTTCCTAATTTTTTATTTTTATATTTTGTTTCTCTATAGATATCTCAAAGTATAAGACATTTTTATATGCAAAATATATGTGTAAACACATAAAAGTATGTGTATATATGTACTGTGTATATCATTTTATGATATGAAGTCATCGTAAAATATCATAAACTATAAAAAATAAGAAAATTAATATCCCATAAAAATTATAGTTAATTTAATAATATTTTAATTTAGTTTAATTGAAAGTTCAAGTATTTTTTAATTTAGTTTTAAAAATTGGAAACGGATACGGATATATCCAATATTCGACCAATATCCGACGGATGCGGATACGGTTTTGATTTTTCAATATCCGTCTAGATCCGTATCCGAATTCGATATCCGACAAAAATAAACGGATGCGGATTTAGTAATGGCACATCCGATCCGATTAAAATCCGTTTACACCCCTAGTTTTTGGATTTTTTTTATTTTGAAAATACTAATCAAAACACTCTTGCAGTCTTGCTAATTAGTTTTTTAAAAGTTATCAAAACACACTTTTCAAATGATTAATGGGGAACTCTCTAAATAAAATTAAAAACTATGAAAATACTACAATAAGAGTCATAAATCTTTTAAGACTGAAATAAAAATTAGTTGTTCGTACTATCATTATTACACTGTTACACTTAGGGGTGAGTTCGGTTTTGGCGGTTCGGTTTTCACCCAAAACCAAAGACAAAACGGAAGGTAAATTGGCGGTTCGGTTCGGTTTTGCATAAAAAATATGTAAACCGTTAGTTATTCGGTTCGGCTTTATACGGTTTTTATTTCGCTTTTTTTGGTTTTTTCGGTTTATAAGAGTAAAAATTTATAAGAATTAAAAAATTGTAAAAACACTAACTCGATGAAACAATAACAATATGTAGTATTAGCTTTGGTGTTTTTGTTTAATTTTTACACAAAAACAAAAATCAAATGGAAGGTTATTGTTCCTTTCGGCTCAATTTTACATAAAAAATATGTATTGAGTGCCAACAAACATTTAGAAAATTTCAAATACTTTCAATGCAAAGACGTCGTATGTAAAATCAATTACGAAGAATTTATATTTTTTGATATAATACTTTCATTTTTATTATAACATCAAAGTATTTTTATGTAAATATATAAAGTACTCATATCAATTTTTAATGTTTATACGATTCTATATTAGAATTAGCTATTGTTGTTCATGTTCTTAGATTTTTTAAAGTTTATAATAATATGGCTAGAATGTTTAATTAATAAATAAGAAAATAATTTTAATCGACTAGTAATTTATTTGTATTTATATTTCTATGATTTTTCTACATATCACATATATTCAAGGAGATTTCTTAGTGATTAAGGACATGTTCCTTTTGGGCTAGAAAATCTATCTCCCAATTTTTTCCAAGTCCTTCCAATTTTTTCAAATTTCTTCTAATTTCTTCCATCTTCTTCGAGTTTCCTCCAACAACGAATTAAAAAGTATTTATGCGTGATTACTATAAAATAACACTATACATCCAAATTTTTAACATATCGCCTCAAGCAGAGATTATGATGGCTTCTTTTTTAGCAAAAATTAAATTTTTTTAATATATTTATTTGAATGATTATTTAATTGAGTGAATTTTTAATACTTAAATTCTTTCAATATTTTCTAACTCTTTTAGTTTTTTTCAATATCTAACTTTGAAAATCTAATTCAAAAGAACAGTATTGACCATTATAAAATTAAAGAGATTAAGTTATGAGATCATAAAAAATATGTAAGAAAATCTATATTTTACAAGTAAATTTTAAGAGGACGATAACACTAATCCAAATTTTATTGTTCAATGTCATTAATTTTGCGGAGTTGGAGCCTCTTTGTATATATGGAAGGGAGTGAAAAAAGACGAGTAAAAGGAGAAATAAGGGAAGGAAGGAGTGAGCTGGGGAAGGAAAGGAGAAGATTTGAAAGAAGGAAAAATCAAACGTTGATCCCCTCTCTCTCCTCCACCCTCCTCTACCGCATATCTCGAACCCCTCTCTGTCTTCAATATCTCCCGCACTCCTCCATATCCCTCCCCTTCCCCTCTCCTCTTTGTTTTGTTTTTGTTTTGTTTCAGATCCATTCATTCATCATCATCGCCATTACGCATACAGACAACACCTACTCTGCATCACATCACATGTCCCTTCCTCCTCCTCCTCCCCCTCTTCCCTCCTGTAGTTACTTGACCAAGTGAAATAGGCACCTCCCTCCCTCCATTCTTAATTTAGGAAGCAAGGTATCAATTGAACATCATCATCATCATCATCATCATCATCATTCTAACCTTGTCTTTTTCCCATTTTGAGATCTATTAGAGATTTGCCTCTTCCCCAACCCCACTCTGCATTTGTTTTCGAGCGGATCTCTCCTCCAAATAGAATATGGAATCCGATAAGAAAGCTTCCGCCGTGTCGGACGTCGGAGCATGGGCGATGAACGTCGTCAGCTCCGTCGGAATCATCCTCGCCAACAAGCAGCTCATGTCCAACCACGGCTACTCTTTCAGCTTTGGTAACTCTCTCTCTCTCTCTCTCTCTCTCTCTATATCTATTTACGTACTTGCATCTCCACTACATAGATCTCAACATCTTCTTCCTTAGATATCCTTTTTTTTTGTTTGAACCCCTTGCTAAATTTCCCCCCTATCATTAGATTCGGATGCCAATTTCTATCTCCATCCGACATCTAATCAAAATTAAAAATTTACTACTAGTTTTTTTGTTTGTTTTGCCGGATTTTCGTGTTACTGCTTCAATCATTTCAGAGCCATGGCTATTGTCATGGCGCTGTGATTGCTCCCGATGTTTAACTTGTGATTAGATTTGGACGACCCGTCCCCATCTCCTCTCAACGGATCTGTATTCAGTTTTGAGCTAAGAGGGTTGCTGTGCTCCTCTTTTTGTGACACTGAAGGACTACTTATTTCATTTCCCATCATCCAGTTTTGCGTTTGAGAGTTCCTACTTTTGGTTTACATCAGCTAGTCCGACATCACTATATTCTTTGTATAATTTGTAAAATCTCGCTATGCTATGCAACATTAGCATTGGGTAAAAAAGGGTGCGACATAGTGGCAGCAAGTTTTTAACAATATGTGACACAGCTGCGTTTAGATCATCATGATGTTTTCCACCATCAAAAATGTATATTATTGATATTCTACACCATTGATATGAAATCTTGAGAAGTATGTCTATTTCTCTTTTCTCCCCTTCGAGTTACCTGTTTCAGGAAGTGGAAAGAGTGTCTTTGTTATTTTAACAGAAGTTCGCAAGTGATGTGAGATGATATATGAGTTGTGACCTGTAGGATCTTTGTTTTTTTTTTAAATCCTCGTTGCCATATGATGTATATCTTATATTTTCTGCTTTCAATTTGCATAAGGTTAACTCAAACTTTATTGTATTTTCTGTTTCTTTAAAGATTACAGTTAACACTTCACAGCTCAAAAATTTGACAGTGCTTTTTTTCAATATCCAGCAACGACGTTGACTGGATTCCATTTTGCTGTAACTGCACTTGTTGGGATGATTTCAAATGCTACTGGGCTCTCGGCATCAAAGCATATTCCTTTGTGGGAGCTTATTTGGTTTTCAATTGTTGCGAATATGTCTATTACAGGGATGAATTTCAGTCTCATGCTAAACTCAGTTGGATTTTATCAGGTATAAAGTTTCCCAAGCCCTTGATGTGTCATTATCAGGGATTGCAGTACACACATCAACTTGAAGCCTACCACCAGTCCATCACATGAACGTGCTTTTATATGTAACCTACTACCATATATTTTATAGAAAATTGTTTGTTAGAATTATTAATGAAAAGATTCAATATAATTGCCTGTCTCAAACATTCAATTTTGCTTTACCTTTTGTATTCAATTTTGCTTTACCTTTTGCATTCAATTTTGCTTTACCTTTTGCATTCAATTTTGCTGTACCTTTTGCATCCCATCGTTTTCCTACTCTTTCCCCATAATGGTAGTAGACTGTATTTGTTATTGGAAGGGTGGACCAGAGAAGGTAAATAAAGGTTATCACTCTAACTACAATGCTTCTTTAAGCGTGCACACACAACAACAACTTAATGATATATTCCCTCCATCCCTAAATAAAATTCTCACTTTCCTTTTTTGTCAGTCCCAAAATAAACATCTCACTTCCTTTCTTTCCATAAAAATATGAACATGTGATTCCCAACCTTTATTTTGCCTAATTGCCTATAAAAAAATTCTATCCACACACTTTTCACATTTCAACAACTTTCTTAAACTCCATGAAGACCAACCAATACTTTTATTTAGGGACAGAGGGAGTAAACTTTTCAAGAATGTTTGTATGCCAATTGTCACGTACTCTATTTTATAGTAAAGCACCGATTGAGATTTTGAAGCAAAATAATCAATTTAATTGTCAGTCCCCCATCCTCTCTACTTTGCCTTTTACATTTACTTCTGGTTCCACACTTTTCTTGTAGCAGTAGATTGTGGAATTATGGTTTTTGGAGGGAGGGATAAGCAGGGAGAATAAGACATAACCCACTTTAGCATGGAATTATCACGCACATACCCACCTATCTACTCTAATCAGCACACACATAACTGCATACCCATGTCTTTCTTAACTTTTGGATGTATCGAAAGCACCCTAAATCTCAACATGGTAAGATGAATCCCTTTTTGAGTTGTTCAACATTGGTATCAAAGCCATGAAATATCAGCATAGTTTTTTGTATGACTTTAAAGGGTAATTTCTTCATGCATCTAACCTTTGGTAACACTTCTGGCATAGATTTCAAAATTGAGTATGATTCCGGTGGTATGTGTGATGGAATGGATCATTCATAGTAAGCATTACAGCAGGGAGGTTAAAATGGCCGTTGTGGTGGTTGTCATTGGAGTGGGGGTTTGCACTGTGACCGATGTCAAAATTAATGCCAAAGGTTTTATTTGTGCATGTGTAGCAGTGTTTTCTACCTCATTGCAACAAATTGTAAGTACTTCTACATCCTACACATTTACGAAATTGATTCATAGCCCTAGCACAATCACAAGAATTTTAACATTTCCGTTTTGTTTTTTTAATGTTTGGTGCACAGTCCATAGGTTCCTTGCAAAAGAAGTATTCAGTTGGATCTTTTGAGTTATTGAGCAGAACAGCTCCAATTCAAGCTGCGTCTCTCCTTGTGCTGGGTCCTTTTGTTGACTATTTTCTCTCTGGAAACTTAATACTAGACTACAAGTATTCTTCTGGCGCAATTGTAAGTGTTTTTGTATCATATCAATTTCTTGCACTTGAATAATATGCCTCTTACTGTATCATCCTATTTCCTATGTGTCAATAACAACCAATTTCTTGCAAACTGTAGAAGATTTTTATACACTACATACATACCAAAAGAGAAGTTACTTCTTAAGTTTTCTTTGGTCCCAAATAGGGCTGTAAATAAACTGATTGAATTGAATAGCCAGGTATATCCCTCTTCGGAGTTGATTTGATAATGTGTAGTCGTATTCTTTGTCAAATTTTGAATTCTGAACTGGATTTGAATCTGATTTGTCATAAGCCTTTGATATGATTTGAAATCAATTCAAATTTTTAGCACCGTAAGAATTTGTTCCTTTTTTAATTCATCAATTCATTAAATCAGCAGCAAACTAAATGCTTTACTTATGGCAGATCAAACCACATTTTTTGTAGTGAATAAAAAGGAAGGCACGAGTTGATATAATGACCCCTCCCATCCACCCACAAAAAAAACATATAAAATAACAAAATAGGAGAAAAAGTATTGCCTACAAAAAAAGGGCATAACCAACATGCATCTAAGCAAAACAGAGTCTATATGGTTATAACTTAATATGGAGTGCATGATTATTTGCACATTAGAAGAAAATGTATGGAATTTCAAACATTTTACAGAATAACAAATTTGAAAATGTAATCTTAGGATACAGATTCCATGACTATTCAGAATATTTGATGAGTGTTGGTTCATGTGCATTGATTAGCATGAGATTCTTACTGATTGATGAGGATTTGTGCAGTTCTTTATACTGCTTTCATGTTCTCTAGCCGTGTTCTGCAACATCAGCCAATATCTGTGCATTGGGAGGTTCTCGGCAGTTTCGTTCCAGGTGTTAGGGCACATGAAGACGGTTTGTGTACTCACTTTGGGGTGGCTGCTCTTTGATTCGGAGCTGACTATGAAGAATATCATGGGAATGCTGACTGCAGTGGTTGGAATGGTGATATATAGTTGGGCTGTGGAGCTTGAGAAGGCTGCCAATGCAACAACAAAGATCACTCCTGCCTCAAAGCACAGCTTGACAGAAGAGGAACTAAGATTACTCAAGGAGGGAGTGGAAAACCCTCCCATTAAGGATATAGATCTTGGTGATTCCAAGGTGTGATGCTGTGAGCGAGCGAGCAAGCGAGACTCTCTGTTTTCAGGCAAAGAAAATGTGGAGATTTCTCGCTGGGGCTTTCTTCTTCTTCTCCTGTGTTTAGATTTACTATTGTTATTCATTCTTGCTGCCTCTTGGTCCATTTGGTTTGGGTGCCTACTGCGTATTTGTTTTTTTTTTTTAGGTTTTTCAAAAAGAGGACTGAGTGGTTGCATACCTGTTTATTATTGATTTCATTTTGTTATTATTACTATTATTCAAATATTTGTAAGACACTCCGAGATACTAAAAAGTACTCCGTAATGACCTCCGTATATATTATTAGTGTAATTGTTTGCTACACTATCAATTACATCAATCCTAGAAACATCTTTATATTTTTTGGTCAAAATTTAAAAATTTTATCATGGTTTGTGGGGAAAATATATTTTACTCCGTAATATATTACTCCCTCCGTCCACAAATAAACTTTACGTTTACTATTCACAGGATCAAACTTTATTCATTTTGTTGGCCTATTTTTGTCACCTATTTTATAAAATAATATAGTCATGTCACCTCTAGTTTGTAGATTTTTTGATATAGTTTTTTAATATGTAATTTTTATTTTTCAATTCTACACCATTTTTCATATAAAATAATTTGAAAATAACTTCAGTCAAACATCGTAACGCGTAATGTAAAGTTTATTTATGAACGGAGGGAGTATTAACTCTGTCCCAGTTTAAATTACATGTTTTGATTTATAATGTTTGACTAAAGTTATTTTTAAATTAGTATATATAAAAAACGATGTAGAAATAAAAAATAACCATAAATTTAGTATGATTAGATTCATTTTATGACATAGTTTTGGTATATCAAAATGTCACATTGTGATTGTGTAAAACTAAGTAGGTGTTTCTCTGTAGTCTGTACTGGTGCTTATTGACTTATTGCTTGTAAGCAGTTTTAACATAGAAGCTATTTATAAATTAAATTTTTTCGTGTAGATAAAATTACTTGAACGATATATTTGAGGATATTCAAAATGGGTGAGATAGTTTTGTAAGCAATCTGGTCAAAATAAAAAAATGAAAAAATTAGTTTAAAATATGTAAGACTTACTTATGTTTTCCAATTATAAATAGGTTATAAGTCAACTTATACATATAGAAAAACACGTCAACTGCTGACTTATAAGTTAAAAATATCTTATAAGTAGCTGCAGTTTTTAAGCGCAGAAAAGCACTCACTAAATTTCAAGTTCTTTATGGATAGAAGAAATATCATGACTTTGTATTTTACGGGGTTACAGGTTACGATGGAGTGAGCGTGAAGTATACTTTTTTAGGGAGAACAAATATATTATCAAGTCAGAAATTGGGCAAAGTCAAAGACAGAGTCCTAGACTCCAAGTACATCATATTGTTTTGCCCATGAGTGATCGAAGCTAACAAATGAGACAAAAATCTATACATGCAGGAGTCAAAGTAAAAAGAGCACAGAGAAAATAACTACATTAGTAAGGATCAGCTAATCTTGCTTAGTTAATATAGCAAGATTAAAGGTTCAAAGGTCTTTAATTCTAAATCTTCAAATTTTTTTGGGGTGCTCAAACGATCACAAGTCATCAAATGAATACTTTTATCATTCGAACCACCCGAGCCCCACCAATATATGCTCATCAAGCGATCAAGGTAGGAGCAAATAGAGTTTAGGAATAGAAAAGCATTCATAGAAAAGATATGCATATCTTGAGTCTAGGTTTTGAGTAGAATTTTATCCCACACTTGATAATAACTTCTTATGTCAGAAACATATTTACTGAGAGATCTTCACTTCGATATATGCAAACACCACCCTCTTGTTCTTGGGTAACCCTAATTATTTCCCAATGTTATTAGATGTAGACACCCCAATTAAGAGAATTAGCGATAACACCATGAGTCACGTTGCTTGTGTTCTTGCTGAAATAAATATTTAATAAATTAACCATCTCACCTGACAATCCTTCATAAATGCATAGACATTATTTAATCATATCAGCTTCCTACACATTAGCTTTAAACAATGAAGAAAAAATGGAAAATGGCTGGAGTCACTCTGCCACCATGAATAACTCTTGACGACTAACTTGTTGCAGCAAAAGAGAGAAACCCTCAGCATACATAATAAAAAGATAAGGGAGAGAGGATCTCTTTTTGCCTCACACCATGAGATGGGATCAATCGACCACCAATGTGGCCATTGCCTAAAAAATAAATATAAATTATTTTTGCTAGTTTCATCATGAGAAAATTTTTTTCGACAGTTATGTTATCAAACACAAAAAAATAGAATGAAAATTTTGTAGAAAATATTTGTCCATGTGCCAAACGCATCCTGAAAAAAGTTACTCGTGAGTGAAATAGTCCGTAAAAAACACTGAGCTATCACTAAACCTGTGTAGTTGTGATTGATTGAAAGCAAAAGGCAAAAACCCCATCCATCTCTTTCTTTCTTTCTCTCTGGTCATTTATTTAGGAAGAGAGGGGGAGATCACCAAATCCAGAAAGCTCTAGGGACAGAAACACCAACGTTTATCATTACCTAAATCTTCGAACTGTCAGCATCTGAGAGAGAGAGATAGAGAGAGAGAGAGAGAGAGAGATTAATAAGGAAGCATTTAATGCAATCATCTACTACTACACTCCATACCCCCAAAAAATCTATTATTACAGATTGTAGAATTTGAGCACAAACCATTTACAAATCAAATACTCACTCCGTACTGTATATTCATTCATTCATTCATACAATCACTCATTCTCTCTGTATTTCCCTTCGCGTACATACATACATACATACATATCATCACGCTACCTCAGTCTGTGTGTATTAATTATGTGCAGTAAGTAGTAGTACGTAGGAGAGATCTCATCAGCAGCAGCAGCAGCAGCTAGAAGAAGATCCAATCCAATTGTTCAGTTGTACGGAGCAACTCACCCCTATATATTATTATTCATCACCTCGTCTTCTCTTGTGTGCGGTTATTTGGAAATTATTAGTAGTGGGATGGGAAAGCCGCCGCAGTTGAACAACTCACCGGCGGTGGTTGCTTGAAGAAGAAAAATTACCAAAAAAAAAATAATGGGTTCTGAGCATAATGGGTTCCCGCCACCTCCGATTCTTGCTCCTCGCCCTACGGTATTATTCAGATCTGCTTGTTTCCTTTTGCCTTTTAAAATTTTACTACGGATTATTTTTTTCCTTTATATTTATATGCCCACAGATTCCCATCACTAGCAATTGCTTGTTGTAAAGCTTGCTTTGTTCTGAGGTGAGGGGGGATTTTGCCGTTTAGGTTTTTTTTCTTCCTCTAATTCCTATTAAATTCAAGATCATCATCCATCCTGTAGCAGAATCACCTCTTGTAGAAGCAGATCTGCTATGGTAAATTAGCTAGCTAGGAGTAATATTTTCTACTTCAGAGTTGTCTTAAGAAATATCTATGCACTTTTGAGTGGCTTTGGTTTTAGCTTCAAACCAGATGCATGACCAGCTCCAGCTTGTTTTTCTTTTCCCCCCTTTTCTTTTGATAAACAAAACTCTGCAACTGCACATCCATCATCAGCTTTATACGACAGTCTTAAGAAAAAAACATCCTTTGATTCACCGTGGGGTACGCTGTATATACACTAATTGTATACTCCCCATTTTCTTTCTTTGTGGGGAGCTTTTCCATTATATCCTTAACCATCGCATGTAATATATATATGTATATTTAACACTTGGTACTGGTGACAATGTAAACAATATACTATGCATATAGTTCTGTGTTTCTCTTCCTACTTACTTGTTAGCTTGCCACTAGTACTGCACATCATGATAGAATTTTGCTATTTTAGTTTAGCTGAAAGAGCCGCCTTGGAGGTTTTGATGGGTAGGTTGGCCGTAGGAGTTCTTGATGTTTTGCAGTGTGTAGGGCTTTTGTTAAGAAGTGTTGCCAGGCTTAGCTGCCACTTATTCCTTAACTAAAAAAAAAAATTGACCTGCCTACAGTAGTTAATCTGTAAACGACTAGCTCTGTTGTTCAAAATTTGCTATCCATCAAACGGGCTTTGTATCTTAAGATGATGTGGACGTAGTACTCTGTGTTAAACTCTAGGTCCTTTGCCACCATGCCGTCTTGGATATTTGTGATTTTGAATGTGCTCTCAAACTTCTTTTTTTCTAATTTTTGTTTTTGACAGCGTAAAAGATGGATAGGATGTTGTGGGGGTGGATTGTCTTGTTTCGGAAAACAAAAAGGTGGTAAACGTATTGCACCTGCTGCCCGAATGCGAGAGGCCAATCAGATGCCAAACAGACCCCAATCAGCTCCCAACCAGACGACTACTATTGCTACTACTACTACTACAGGACTGGTGGCTCTGTCTCTTCTAGCCCCGCCTTCTTCACCTGCATCCTTTTCAACCCCTTCAACAGCTCAATCACCAAACTGTTACTCGTCTCCGGGGGGCCTAGCGTCGTCGTCGTCCGGTAATATGTTTGCTATAGGCCCATATGCCCACGAGACTCAACTTGTGTCTCCTCCCGTTTTCTCCACATTCACGACCGAACCATCCACGGCTCCTCTCACACCCCCACCAGAGATGTCACACCTCACTACCCCATCTTCTCCTGATGTCCCTTACGCCCACTTCCTCTCATCATCAATCACTGCTGGGGACCGCTCCTCATGGGACCCATCTTCAGTTCCCCCCACCCAACAAGATTTCAAGTCTTCTCATCAAGATTCTAATTTTTTCTGCCCGGACACGTTTGCACAGTTTTACATTGATCACTCCTCATTCCCTCATTCTGGTGGGAGGATCAGTGTTTCTAAGGAATCCGATGCTGCATATTCAGACACTAGAAACCAGAGCAAGCAGAGTACAACCTGGTGTAAACAACAGGAGACAGAGGAGATGGGAGAGGCTTACAGGGCATCCTTTGGTTTCAGTGCTGATGAAATCGTCACTACAACTAATTCAAAGTATGTGGAGATTTCTGATGCTGCCATCTTAGATAAAGTTGATGATGACGATGAGGATGATGAGACCTCATTGTTTACCATCACACCTTTTGCCTCCGGGGAGCAGCCTCAAGAACATATGATGAACTTATCAACAGATAAAGCAGAGAAGAGTCAGAAAAATATGTCAACCCTGCAATACCTCAGAGCAAGCTCATATCGTGTTCAGGGGCCTAACAGCAATATA